TGTGGCAAAACTATCTATTGGAAAAGTTAATGATTGTTCGGATTGATCATCAATCCCTGCTATATAATTTGCACCTAAAAAATATGAAATCATAATATTATCATTGAAAAGAAGTTGTAGCTTTTTGACATTCAACTTAAGTACAAATTAAGGCGACAACATACTATACTAGAGAGCTTATTACAAAGATCAAACTTAAAAGCAAAATCTAAGGACAAGATAGAAGTTGCAACCATTAGTAGTATCATTTTAAATCTAATCAAAGAGGCAAAATAGAAAGAAGCTATACATTAGAATACTTATTTCAAGATGACTAGCAATCGACTGAAGATGGACAATGTATAGTATATAGATTATAGTCTTAATAATGACTTTCTCTATTTCAAGAAGCAAATTTATGTATCTAACAATCATATACTCTAGACGTGTATACTTTAAAAAGGACATGACATCCCAATATTTGGACATCTAAAATATGAGAAGACTCTAGAATGGATCTCAAAAATATGATTTTTGACAAGTTTGAATTGTATTGTTTGACCTTTTGTGCTCTCTTAAAATTCATTCCAACATAACAAAGTATGCAACACAACATCTCTTAGATTATTGTAGTCAATTCTACTACATATAATACAATGGGAAGAAGTGACTTGGATCTCATTATGTCTTTGCCGCAGATGCCTCACAAACACACTGTGGTTGTTGTTTTTGTGGATTGGCTTTTGAAGCAACTTCAATTTGCCACAATGTGCTTGGATATTGATGCCCCAACACTTACATGGAACTTCTTTAATACTATCTTTTGTCATCATGAGCCACCTTGTGTCATCATTTCAAATTGAGATCCATGCTTCACAAGAAGTTTTTGGCAAGCCTTGTTCAAACTACTATTCACATAACTTGCCATATCTACTGCCTTCTATTTTCAAATAAATAGACAAACTGAGTATGCAAATCAAACCTTGGAGGATATGCTGTAGGCATTTGTGGTAGTTCATCATAATAATTAGAATAAATATTTAATGTCCTTAGAATTTACTTATAATGATAATATTCAAACAACTATCAGTCATTCACTATTCTTTCTTAACACTAATCAACATCTAATTATGCCAACAACTTTCAATCATTCTATTGATATCAACAATCCAACAATTGAGGAGTTTATACAAAGGCTTACAATGGCCTTATAAATAGTATAGTATTATCTTTTTATTGTAAAAAATTGATAGAAGCAGTATGCGAATAACCACTGATAATATAAGATCTTCCAGAAAGGTGATTAGGTATTACTCTCTAATATCAACTTATCACTTGCTACATCAACTCAAATAAATAAACTAGCACCTTGGTGGCTTGGACCTTTCTACATTTCTACAGTGATTTATGATGTTGCATATTGTCTCAAGTTTCCACCACATATTTGAGTCCATCTGATCTTCCATATTACACAATTCAAGGAAATTTTTTACTAACCCAAGGTGCCTTCTAGATTGACACCAACCACCACTACGACTACCACCACTACCAACTGTAATAAATGACTAATAAAAATATGAAGTAGATAATATTTTGGAGCAAGGCTACCTTTATCATGGCAGTAGACATCTGCAATTTCAATACAAAGTTCTCTCAAAAGGTTATTCTATCAACGATGCAATATAAAAACCTACATAGAACCTCACCTATTATCAAGAAATAATTTAGAAATACCATTGGGAGCAAAACAAGGATATCCCTTATTAATAAAGGAAGATTAAGTGTAACGAGTTATAGATAAGATATTTGTATTATTGATGCATAAGAATAGATAGTTGGAGCCATATTTAAGAAGTTTATAGAAGTTTCTAAAATTGAGGATAGGCTAGTGGGTTATATAGGATCTACCATAGAACATTTTAAAAAGAACTTAAAGCAATTATCTAGATAGAATCCACCATTAGGAACAATCTAGAAAGTTCTAAGATGGTTGGATAAAGTATAAATAGGACTAGCCATAGCCATTCGCGCATATGGTCAAATATGGCTTTGGACCCTTTTTCTTAATAAAGTTTGGTTTTGTATCTTCATGTTCAGTTTTGTTCTATTTTCTTTTGTTATAGTCTACTCTATTTTACGTTGTGATGAAATCTATGTTGTTGTGGATTAGAAGGATCGTAGATTTTTGAAATAGTCTAGTCCCATTTCACTAAACAAATTCTAGACAAACCCTAAATAAATCCTAATCAAATCCTAATCAAGTTCTAAACCAAATTCTAAGAAAATTATAATCCTAATCAAATTCTAGATCAAATCCTAAGCTCTAATCAAATCCCATACAAATCCTAAACTAATTCCTAATTAAATCTTAGATCTTAAACAAACTCTTAATAAACCTTATAACAAAATAGAACTTCAACAATTAATAATCAAACCATTGATATCAACTCAAAATTTGCAAACTTCTTAATATCTTAATTAGAAACATGTATAATTGCAATTGATTGTACTTACCAATTGAAAAAAATGTAAGATAATATAATTGAGTGTTGGATGGCTTCCTATTCTAACTTAAATTTTGAACTTTCAATACCAATATTTTTTAATTGAATTATTGAATTATTTTCAAATTTCACCCACATATTGGAAATCAAATCTAACATCTATATATATATATATATATATATATATATATATAGATACATATTTTTAAAAAAATTATAAAAAAAATCACTTGTTGTTCTATTTTCTTTTGTTGAATGTTTCTAAGATCTTCAGCAATCTTAAGGTTTGATTTCAACCTAGGTTGAGAATCGGTCCTCTTTGGGTATGAATTCTTGGCTTCTTGAAATAAATTTTATTAAAATCTATTCTTAATTCCTTCTTATATATACTTATATTATTTGATTTTCTAAATTACTTTGTTTTGCCTTATTTATGGCCCTACAAAATAAGTAGAAGTCCATTTTGTAAAAAGGTAGTATTAGCACTTTTTAATTTTATTATTTTTTTAACTATTATTTATATTTTTAAGATAATTTTTTATAATATCTTAAAATAAGATCTTCTATAATATAATATTTTCTTCTCTCTTTCATTCATTAATCATGTTATATCATAACACTGCAACATCAAGATGCATTATGAGCAAGCAAAAATGAAACATATGAGCCCAATTTTGAGATTAACACCAACATTCTTGACTGCAATTTATTGACCTCCAATAGAGTATTTCACAACGTTTGGATCTTTAGATTTCCATCTTTATTGAAATTTTTACATTGCAAAATATAATATCAATCTAGATTTGTATAAATAATGTCATCTTTTTCACTCAAACCCTTGCCAAAACTAAGAATCTATCCTTAAGCAAAAAAAATTATACACATCTTCTAATTTTTGTAGAAAGTAATAATGGACTTTAACCAATCAACATTCTATACTTCATCACTACCAATTCAGTTGCTTCAAGGATCTCTTCAATTCACATAGTTAGTAAAGGCAAAAGAAGATTTAATGGATTGCTTTAATATTCTCTTAAATTTATTGTATTAAGATTTGAAATTTGACACTTACATTAAAAGATAAAATTTTATTAGATTAAAAATTATCTTTGAATTTAGATGTGGTTTAAAAAATTTAATATAGAATAACAAGAAACAATAGTTATTGATTTCTATGCAAAGATAGAGATATAAATATATATATATATATATATATATATAGATAACTACTTTAATCATATAATTATGATATATTTTGATAAAATATCTTTTAAAAAAAATTATAAAAATAAAAGTTTAATATTATAATCTCATAATATAATTATATATAGATTAATTAAAATGATATGTTTAAGAAAATTAGAATTTACAGCACATTATTTATTTGAATGAAATTATAGAACGAAATTATAATTTTCAGCTAATAAGCTTATATAAACATGTAAATATATACTACTAAATTTTGATTCTATTAAGTTTTTAATATTATTTATTATAAATAAAAATATTCTATTTTTTTATAATTGCATTAAAATTTATAAATTGCTATAAAATAATAAAATCATTTCTTTAGTCTATCTATTTATATTGTACCACTTCTAATAGAGATAAAAATCATATTATAATTTATAATATCAAACTTTATTTTTTATTTTTTATTTTTAATATTTTATATAATATATTTGTATTAAAAAAATTTAAAATAAATAAATAAATAAATAAAACTTAAGCCGTTGAGTTTCTTTTAATTTGCTTAGTTTCTCAATTTAATATCATCTCCTATTATGTAGTTTAAAAATATCTCTTGAAAACAATACATAAATTGTCAATTGTAGTGACTACTTTCTTGCTTTAGAAACATCTCTTATGAACTTCTGGTAATACTTATGGTTACAATATTTATAAATTAATAAATAAATAAAATATAGCTTTGAACAATGAAAAAAATAGTTCATACTTTTTACTTATTGCTTTCTTAATTATCTTCCTAATGAACCTTTTTCTCAAGTAATATTTTGTATTTATCATAGCTATGCTTCCAATTCTAACTGAGCATTCAATTCTTTAAATTAGTGCAATCAAATAAATATTGATATGAAATAGACATTGTCTATCTCTATGCTTGGTGTTGATACATAGTACATCTATATCTATATATAGATATAATATATATACCAAGTATATATTAAAAGGAGTTTAGATATACTATGTATATGTACCAAGTATAGTATATACACTATATATACACTATCTAGACTATACATAGTGTATCTAGACTCCTTTTTGGAGAGTATATTTTGGAGAGTATATCTAGACTAAGTATATTTTAGAGAGCTTGGAAACTTGCAAGTCTGCAAGATGTTCAATACCAATAGTGAATGATTTTGCATCCAAGTTAAGAGGGTTAGTGTACCTCTGACCTTGGCATGCGTTGTTTCTAATTGAAAGAAGAAAAAACAACAGTTTGAGCAGCTGTTTGACAACGCTTCAGTCTAAAGTAGAACCGCACAGCTCATGTCAGCATGAAACCTTTGACAGGAACTAGTCTCATACAAAGACTTACTGGCACTTTATTACATGGATGTTGTTAAAATACAATATATCAGAGTATAGAATTTTACATGAGATTTCTCATAGAGCAGAGTAACTATGATACATGGGAGAGGTTCCCATTATCGTTTGTATTGATGCGTCTCTTTTTTGTATAACGCCACATGCTTACCAGAGGCCGCTTCGCTTGAGTTTCTGTAACAAGCAAAGTGGCCAGTCCAGCTTCCTGGAACATAGAACTACCCTTCAGCCGATGGTAACCTTCGAGGAAAGATTGAGATTCGATTCGAACCCTACAGTGGTGAAGGGTACTGGCGTCAAAAAACAGCTGATCTGGCCTTGAGAGTTTCGATTGTGACCCCAGTTTGATTGTTGGCGGTACACCCATAGGATGCGCGACGCAGATTAAATAGTAGTAACAGTGCTACCCTTTGATCTATTATATACACTTGAGGTTTGTAGACACTGCTCTCAAGCCTACGCTTCTTGTATCCTTGTTTTCTTTTTGGTTGAGGCCAAGCACATTTGTACACAAGAAAAGCACTTCGGAGGAAGGCTTGAAATCGGTCGAATTCCTGACTCTTGGCCCCTGAGAATGCAGTGCGATAGCAATCCTAGTTGGTGAAGACTAGATCTGTCTTTCTGGTTTCCTTTTTGACATACAGAGTTGCAATGAGGCATTGATGACGGGCCCTGTCACGTTGAAGAACCCTTGTCAACTTCTCCTACATGATATAATAGTGTACTTATTTACATATTGTCCAGGTGTGTGTATCAAGCACGGAAAGGAGCCCTGTGCGGTATGCCCTTCCGTCGTTTCGCAATTCTAAGCACATTCGAACGTGGTGGGGTCCTCGGTGACATATCGACCACAAGCTGAACAGGCATTGAGCCAACTGTGTCATGAAAACACCCTGAAGTAACTCCAAGTGAAGATTGTCCACCTTCACCCTGATGCCATGCTCGTCGCTTGGCGAAAGTTGGGTCCTCCACGATTTCGTGATCTGTCTCTGAGCTCTCGAAACTTGTGTGAGACAGAGGTGAAGATTGTAACTGTAAAACTTTCCTCGATCGTGTTGCTTTCTTATGAGTGGAAGAGTCTTCCGAGTCTGAAGGTACACGCGAGTTCGTGCTACCGAAACCTTGTGATTTTGGTTGTAGAAGGAAAGAAAGCTCCTTGTGCTTCTTGATTCCTGCAAGCTGGCAACACAGAAACTTTTGAAATCGTCAGGAACAATCACACTTCACCCCCGATTCCAGCAATATGCAGATTAACTCCTCGACCATCTTCAAGTGAAAAAATGATGCGTCAGCATTTTTCGACTGCCTATTCTCCTGCTTTTTACCAGCAGCAACTGCACTTCTTGATTCTGTACTACACTTTAGATGAACTATTCACATTTGTGAGGACATCACCATAACTCTTAAGATTATGAACTGATGATGGGACCTCCCGACATCCCTTATTGATTCTAAGAAAGCAATTCAGCTCTTGCAAGTAACATATCAAAACTAACGCATAGAAATAAAAATAAACAATATTTCTGTTACTCGGGGAGACTTTTGCGTTCAATGTGACTGATTGTAACACTGTGAGTCAAGTTGCACTGTATTGTAAACGAAGTTGTGCTAGGTCATCCTCTCTTGGACACTCTTACGTGTGCAAAAATCGACCTTTTTTCTAATAATTTAATTTAGATCTCTTTACAAGAAAGGCAAAAGACTCTAAAACTTACATCGATAAAAATATCCTACCTTACATCCCAAGGAACAGAATCGAAATGTGTCGAGCAGACTTCGCTCACACGTCTCGCAAGTATTAGTCACGCCTTTTGCTGTTCGTGGCTGAGGCCGCTCATTTAGGAACACCACACGGGCACTGTTAATAATGTAAGTCTGCACCGTTGAGATGTCCAAAAGCTTCTGGATTTCGGAAACGCGAATGACATCATGGTAAGACGACCGCCGGATCTACAGAAATGTTGTGCAAAACTTTTTTGAGTAGGTGAACACATCAAAAGTAGTTCGGCAATTGTATCTGTGAATTTCCTTTGATTCTACCAATCGCTATTGACACTCAAATCAAACTATCAACAATATCCAGCCATTACATATAATTAACATGTAGAAATTTGTGTAGGCATTGAAGGTTCATACCTGAACAACGTGATGATCCTTATGGTCAGCTGTACAAGAAGCGCAAATGCCATCACCCATGCAGTTGAAGCAGAACAGGTTGCATTCGCTCTTAGCAGAAACTCCATGAACTGCACAAGTGGCGAAGAAATCCGCCTTCAGCAACGGTTTCAGCCAGAGTGGCCCTTCAGAAAGATTGATGTCTCCTTCCCCCATCACCGATCCTCCCTGCATTGTTCAACAGAGTAAGGGTTGGAACAGCAACATATCACAGTACACACACTCAAAGCGCGAATTGAATGCACAAAACCACGACCTCGTATTCCTTACATATTACTAACAGGTTGAGAAGCTGGTGCGTTTCGGGGTTGAGACCACGACATCAGCTCTTTCGATGGAATGCAATAGCTGGTTATGAATGTGCATTTGCACGTACTTGAAACTATACATATTTTACAAGGGTTTCATTAGCTTCGCTTCCTCGCTATTACGATCCAAGACTAGACATCTTGCAGTTAATTTTTTGAATTTTCCAAAGAAAACCGCTCTAAGATGAACCCTCCCTAGAATTTTCCCTCGAAGCATCTCTGCTTTCAATTGACGCGCTTTAATGGATCTTCCATAGCTTTCCAGTCTGGCGAGACAGTTCAATGCAAACAAATGGACAGGGCTTTCAAGAGTTCGACAAATTGACTGAAACATGGCCTTTTAGAGTTTTCAATGGTGACGATAGCTGATCACGAAGGTGGAAAAAGCGTGAGCGCTACTATACAATCAACTCGAGTACGTGCTCATCATGAAGGTCAGTGGTTCGCAATAGAAAAGATGCTCACTATGATCTTCGTATTCTTCGACTTTAAGTGACTGAGAGACACTGGATGTGCTGCCGTTATCGCCAACTCTGACTTTCTTACTTTTGAAAACACTTAGTCAATATAGTGATTGACCCCATGCACGCTGCTTGATCCAGGTGTACTTCACAAACCTCCGATTCCAGTTGTAATTATTCCCTTTCCAAAGATAATGATCAGTCGGATAGAATTTCCCAGCGGCTGCCTCCTACTCTCTGCCTTCCAGAATTCCTCGTAAAGTTTTTTAGAGGCTGGTGACTGAGATCACTCTTCAGACAGTTTCCGACATGCTGATAACTAATTCTGCTTCCACTTCTAGCCACACGAAATCGGCCAACATGATACTCGTTGCCGAGATTTTCTTCACGTCTGCAAATCGAAATTGTTCAAGAGAAAAGAAGAGAGCGGCATGGTAGACAATGGTGCTGCACATTGTCGATGTAATTTGAGGCAGTTCCTAAAAATGGGGCTGCTGATACGAAAGGGAATTCTCGATTGTCCATTTCTTCATGCTCTAAGAATCTCAAGCCAGAAGGACATCCCTGCTTCTAAGACGGTTGGCTAAAGGAAGCACAATAAATTCTAGTACCAATAATAGAATTGCTTGCTGCAGCATCACCGCCTTGCCCTCACAGCTTTGTATACTTGACTATTATACTAAGCTTAGCACGAATTGACAAAAAAGTTCGGCGCCGGCAGAACAATGAGTAGATGATCTCATGACAACTTTCGGAACAGAATACACTTTTCTTCACTTCTCAACAGTTTTTATCTAGATTGCGTGCGACACTTTCACATCTCCTTCAAAACGGTAGAAGCACTTTGAACTCTTGCCCAGTAATGCAGTTGTCATCTAACCGCGATGAAAGGATGGATCCAAGCTAGAACATCAAGGCAACATGAGACACTTCTCCACGACACACAATGGCTTGTCCGTTGGTCTAAATTTTCTGCTACGCCGCTTAAGATGTGACCCGACCGACGACAAAGAATTCCGATTATTTGCTTACGAACACGCCAAGGAGGCCGATTAAGCGCCTACTTGACAATGCAGCTTGAACGTGGCGAGTGAGACTTCAAAGACATGTCATGAGTTCTAGGAAGTACCTATGCTGGCATTATAATTCGCGCCGGTCCAACCGATAAATTCGATGAAACCAGACGGACACCATGCCCAAAAACCTACACGAAGTTCATAACATACTTTACTGTCCCGCCCATGGAAGCGACGCCGCATCCAACTCGAAGTGTTAAGAAAGTCCGTAACAAGCTTGAGACAACAAAAGGTTGAAGCTCATCTGCCGCAGGATCGGCAGCAGCAGCAGCAGCGAGTGGTGAATAATTTACGAGGAAAGGAGGTTCACAGACGAGGGGTTGAACATGTCTCGACAAAGCCGGCACCCGAGACAAGCAAGGAAGGAGGACCAGACATGAGCTGGTGAGCGACGCAAACTGCGGTGTAGAAATATCCTTTCTCTGTGCACAGCCTTGACTCACGCCCAGGTCCATGAGCTGGCGCTACACGACAGCCCTACAACGACGCTTCTGACGACGGCAACAAGGGAATTGGCATCTGCGTGTGGGAAGCGATGGATTCTTGCTTCTTTGCTTGCTTGCGCAAATTTCCAGATCATCGAAGATGCTGTGGAACGTGAAAGAGGAAGCATCGGTGCAGATAACGATCAAGCGTGGTGGAGAGAACATCACCGCATTGACCAAGTTACGTGTGGGGCTCCCCCCCCCCCCCGCACTGTTTCAAAATCGACTTCGCCGTCCGCATCTTGGGCGGTTGAGACCCTGGTCCAATAACCGATAAGTGTCGGGCCAGCCCATACCCGGGTACGTAACCAGGTTCTCAATCAAGTGATGTCCTGGGTTCTCAACCCTGGAGCCTTTAATCCCTGGACACATGATTTGACTCTTTGTTCTTATGCCTTTTGAATGCCCAATGATTGGTGTTTATGGAAAACCAAGTACCATTTTTATTTTTATTTTTATTTTTCTTAAATTAATCAATGTACATGAGTTATTAGGTTGGAATTGGGTTATGATTTGTTTCTATTGATAGATATTTTCGTCGGTTTTTGTTTTTATTTTTGTTGTGTAAAGAATGTAGACATTGTCATTAAAGGTGTTGAGTGTGGAGATGACAATGCTTTCTAGCTTGAAGTTTGCTGTTGTTGAAGTAGTATTCTTTTTTGAATGTTGAGTAATGTGATACGATTACTTTGCTGTATTCTAGCTTTATCACATATCTATTATTTCTTTATTATGCTTTATTATTTTGGTTTTATTTCTATTCTTCTTTTTTTAGATTTTTTATTTTTATTTTTATTATTTCTTTACATCTACGTTGATTGTTTGTCATTGTGGTTACAAAATCATAAATGTTAAAATTTTAACTAATATTTTTTGAAAAATATTCTGATATAATAATTATGTCAATGATGCACATAAAGATCCAAAAAATAAATAGTTTAATTTTAACATTAAAATCAATAGAAAATTATATTAGGTTAGATTGATGTAGTTTAAAAACAACCTGATACAAACATTATACTTTGATCAAATACTCATTGTGTATAATCTATTAAAGAGCATAATAAAAATAAAAATTACAGTAGTTTGTGAGAAAATTCAGTTAGACATAAACACTTATATGATTAACAATTTCATACTATTCTACTTATTTATTACATAAATATGAACCAACATAAAGCTTGCTATTTTCATCCCTGAAAATATTTACATTGGTTTTTCAGATGTAGCATCAATTTGAGCAAATAATGTACTCTTTGAAGAAGTTCCAGAAAACAATTACTGATAAGTGGGAGTGCATGCTACGATTCTCATATTTTTAATACCTAATATCTGAAATATGAATTCAAACTAAGAATCATAAAAATAACAAAGTAAAAATAAAAATCAAGACCATGGCTTAAGAATATTTTTATGCTTGGTGTGTTGCAAATGAGACTCTAATGTTCCACATGTAAACTCACTTTATGTATTCCAAATTCATCTTGTTGGAGCAATTCAACTAAGTTTTAAAAACTCAATCATGATGCTTCTTTGACAAACTTGGGTTCCTTTCTTTTTTGTATATGTGTGTGTGTGTGTGTGTAGATATATATATATATATATATATTAATTAGAACTTGAAAACAATTTTTCTGTAGAATTTTTGTTTCCTTTTGCTAGTATATTTATATATACATAAAATGGATCATTCAATTCTTCATACTCTGGTACCTAAGTAGTTATGGTACACACATCATACAATACATATGCAATAACATGTGATGCTTTCAAAGAGTAACAACATCCAAAGAATACCTTAAAAATAAAATCCATAATGTGATAGAATCCCAGTTGCAATGTAATCTTCTTCCTCATTTGCTTGTAAGGAAATTGTATAATGGGCATAATTTGTTCTTGACTTGTGGTGCAACTTTCATTCTATGTGGGGGGCCACTCAATCATATAAGTTTGGCATTGAAATAGATAACCAAGTAAAACTTTCATGAACTTGTCCCAAAGTACCCATAACATGGACGGGTCCGAGGTCTCATGCACTATTGCCTCAAAAAGCACAAAAATCAAATATTTCTTGATTTCCTTGTTTGGCCCATTTCATGTCATATAGACAAGATGGGACCATGTTGACAATGAAACTTCCAAGTACACTACCACTAATACTACAAAGGAAGAATGAGATATCATGTGTTGTGTCCAAGCATGTCATGACTTTACCACTTTGGTCTTCTTTTGTGAATCAATAAATTTTGTTGTGCTTCTCGAGACAAAATCATGGTGAAGCACACAATTTCCATGCTTTTTGTAATAGCACACATTCCAAATAAAATTTGTTATTAGTGATTTTTTATAAAAAATGTGGTTAAGTTTATAGTTTAATAATAAAAAAAGAGTTAAAAACAAAATGATGAGATAATTAAGCTTCTTGAGGAATGGATGTTGATGTGTTTTGTGCAAAGGATTGATTTAAGAGCCACCAAAAGTTGAAACATTGGCAAGTGCCTCTCAACGGTCCTTGTTCTCTTGGTACACCTTTTTCCATTAGTTTTTTTTAGTGAAAAATGGTTCCCTAAAGCTCTCAACTTTATGATAGACCCAATAAAGAAAAAAAGTAAAGAAAAAAGGAAGGAAAAAGAGAAAGAGAAAGAACAAGGGAGGTTCATTTACAAGGCACAAGCCTCACAAAGATGGTAGGTGAAGAAAGTCCCTTTCATGTATTTTATTAGATTTTTTTTGAAGGAAATTTGATTAATTTTTTGAAGTTTTTTCTTTGGTGGGGGCACAGCAACATGAGTTTTAGCATGTCCAAATCCACTTCCTCTTTTCCATTCCACAAAGAGTTCTTTATAAAAGTCCAGTGGGGACAAGAAAAAAAGGTGCAGGACAAGGAAAGGATACCCCCTTCACACCCTTTTCAAATGATCCATACCCACTTCTTTTTCTTTCTCCTCCTTCCTTTTCTTTTCCTTTCCTTATCTTTTACTTTTACTTTTCCTTTTTCCTTCTTCGTCTTCTTTATAAAACTTGGGTGGACTCAGTATCATGTTTCATTGTTGTACTTTGAACTATTGAAATTTTAAGAAAGTGTGAGTTTGGTTTTTAAACTTCCAAAAACTTAATTGCATTTTCATAAGTATGAAATGGCTAATTTGTAGATACTATATTAATATATTAATTCTTGGATTTTAAATTTATTTATAACATTTTTTTATTTTTATTTATTGAACCCATCCAATGTACAATTTAAATAATGTTAATGAAATTAAGAATTACATAGTAATCATTGGAACTAAAAGAAAAGAAAGAAAGATAGCATACAAAGTAGATAGTGTTTATTGGTTAATGAGCTTTTCAAAAAAAAGCTTTTTTAATAAAATGTCATTTCGTTGATGGTTTCTACTACCACAATTAAAATTAGATGTTTTAGTTGTTAACATTGATAGACTATCATCTTGATAAAATATCATCTACATTCTTTCAGAAAAAACATTTCGAAGGTTGAACATATAGAAATTAATGCAATTCATATAGAACTGTTAAGAACATTAGATTAAATAAATTCTACTATTTTTGAGTGACATGGTACAAGTTCACTCCAGAACTCCAATGGAAATGAATTAAAACTATAATTAAATAATTGAAAATACCAACATTGATTGCATTGTAAGTGAATAAAAATGGCTCTTTCACATGGGATTTGAAATAATTAAACCTTTTGCATGTCTAAAGAATAAAATATTGTTTTTTTTTTCTACTTTTGGAGGTATAGAATAGTCGAATTTGGTTTCATGCTTATAAAGAATATTTTGATTGGCATTGGCAAACCTAAACTGAAAAGAAGCCATATAAATAAATATGAAGTTGTATAAAAAAACTTACTATGTGTATGTAAATATATAAATTAAGATTTTTTCTAAGGTTAATTGTGACTTGAAGTTATTTGAAGTCTAATATTTTGCTGCCAGATTAATTATCTTGTAGTAGAAAAAGAAAAGAAAAACTAAGATTATCAGGACTTGAAAGGAGTCAGAAATTTAACCATACCAATAAGATAATGTAATGAGATAAATTGAGTTGTAAGTCTATTTTATATGCTTCTAAAACTTGCTTCAATTTTTTGTTATTATTTTTATTTTCGTTAAATTTCATAAATCTTTAAAACACAGAATCTTTCTAATTATCAATCATAAAAATTCTAGAGATGAATCTTAATGATACTTAAAGTCAAAAACCATAACTTAAGATCTGATTTCACTCTATTTTTAGTAATTTCAATCTTAAAACCACAAATATAGCCTATATTATTCTTTTCATGAAATTCGATTATGAAAACATACATTTATTTTTAGTATCAATGCTTTAGAATTTACATATGAAATTCCACATACAAGCGAGTGAAAGATTTGTTGTTTAACAAATATTTATTGCAATTTTTTAATATTTTGTAAACTGATTAATGATCTATTGGATAACTTTTAAGCATACATAATTCTTTTACAAGGGATAAATCTCATATAATAAACATTTATAATAATTACACATTTTTTTATAATAGTATCCTGATAATTTCATAAGTAAATATTAGAAATTCATTCAGTTACCATGTATATATGTAGAATTAATTTTATAATATTTATAATATTTATATTATTTGTTGTTAATTATTAGTTTGTTTAATATTATGTTCTAAAATGCCACTTAAGTTTAATGTCTTAAGAGGTTTTTATACTCAGAAGAAAGGTGAAAGACCACAAAATTTAAATTCTTTGTTTGGTTAAAATTGAAAAGATTTTTTTACTTTGTTTACATTCTCAAGTATCACCTTAATGGTTCTAAAAGAAAGAAAGAAGGTACAATGCACATTTTGTCCTACATGACATGAATGTGTTACTGCGGTTTATTCGATGATTTATCAAATATAAACTTTAAGAAAATGTTTATTTTTATTATTTG